TCTTCAGATTGTTCTCATAAATCAAATATTTGTACTTTTTGCATTAATGAATATTGCAGAGTTGAACTTGATAAATCAAATATAGATATCGTTTGTCCTTCAATCAATTGTAATGTGATTTTAAAATTTGATGAACTTAAGAATGAATTGACAGCAAAAGTTTTGAAAAAGTTGGAGTTTTCTTTTATATATATATTTTTTTGGAATATTATTTATTTGTACAAAAATTTAATAGTATTTCAAAATATCTAAAAAAAAAAAAAATTAGGTATGAAACTCTTTTGTTTCATAGAATGGCTGAAAAATTACCAGAATTTCGATGGTGTACTAAAGGATGTGGTTCTGGTCAAATCAATCATCTAAAAGGTATTTTTCAAATCCTTTAAATGATTATTTTTCATTAGGTTTAATTTGTTTCTAATGTTCATATCTAAAGATGCAGCTCCACGAATGATATGTGAGAATTGTGGTCACATATTCTGTTATACTCACAATATTCCTTGGCATGAAGGTCAAACGTGCAGAGAATACAATATTAATAATCAAACTTTTGATGAAGCTAGTAGGAATTATCTTAAAAATTATACCAAACCTTGTCCGGGATGTGGAATCCCTTGTCAAAAAATTTCTGGATGCGATAGCGTAGTTTGTAGTGTAAAGAGTTGTTTAACTTATTTTAATTGGAATCGTAATTCGTTTGGATTAATCGAATGAAGATGGTGTTATTTGTTTGTATGATAAGTAATTTTGTACGTAGTATATAATTCCTAGTATGCTAACTTTGAAAATCTATTAGATCTAAAAATTGAATTTTAAGATACACATATAGATAGTGGACAATGTAAGCCGAGAACCCAATCTGATGCTCACTTCTTTATCTATGCTAAAATAAAGGTCTAACTTCGGAGAATTAATGAATTTTTAGTTAATTTGTTAACAGTTAATAGCCTCTTTTTGATAACATCATCTTGAATGGGAAAAGCTTTGGAACATGGTAAAGGATCACGTGGATGAAATAATTGCTTCCGAATTTTCTCCAGTGGAAACGGCTTTTTATAATTACTTGTCTTTAGATTCGTGACGTGACGTGTTCTTCAAAGCTTGCTTTAACTTCGCATTCCTGGGTTTAAACTTGATATCCTTGACCTCTGTATTTCTCAGCTATAACCTTAGCATATTTGACCTTCTCAATAAATCAAGTTCAGACTTAGCGTTTGTCATTGTTTTATATAGGATGCGAATTTATCACTATCAGAGTTACATAAAATTTAAATAATCGAACATTGAGATATTGATACAGTAAAAAAATTGTATCGTTAATTTTATAAATATTCTATATGGCAATAATGTATACAAATTATCGAAAATAATCTTTATAAGAAAATAATAAAAAAGAGCAAGAAAGTAAAAAAATATATTTATAAAAATTTTTAAAACACCACGGATGAGAGGTCAGAATGTGATATCATTTAAATAATAATTACCAGTACATATGGGCTAGGTGCGAAAAAGAGACAAAAATGATAATTTTTTCAAAAGCAATTTTTTTACATAAATTAATTTAAAATAAGATTAGGATCATTTTTCTATTAAGACACAAAAGCATTTATATTAATAAAATTTTGCAGTATAGCTCTTTAAAAGTTTGTATAGATAATATCATCATTTCTGATACATTATATATTATAAAATAGAGAAATGATTTTCGTACATCAGTTTCGTGTAACTTCACGTACATCAATTTTTTTTTGACCAATAAATTATTGAATAATTTAGTCACTTGAGATTTAAATTTATTTTCAACAAATTTCATTG